TTGTCATGTGTTAGCGGCTGTGTCACTTGTGTCAGAGAGCATCTGTCTGGGCTCATAGCTCCTCTTATTCCTGCTCATCTTTCTACTTAAAGTTCAAACTACTCTATCTTTTGCCTTCCTAATTAAACACAGCAAGCAATGTTTATCTAACATGATTCTGAGACTGAGCTCATAGCTCCTTTTATTCCTGCTCATCTTTCTACTTAAAGTTCAAACTATCTATCTTTTGCCCTCCTAATTAAACACAGCAAGCAATGTTTATCTAACATGATTCTGAGACTGATTAACAATATGCTCTTGAAGTCAGGCAAAAAAAATACGATATGATATATACTTTTGAGATTACATTTTACCAATGGTACTTGAAAAAATGTCTTCATGGTTTCCTGGGTTAGAGCCTCTGGGATGCAGTTTTAGCTCTGAGCTCAAGTTCTAATCCACCTAGAGGAGGGAAGAAACAATATGAAATCAAGAAGAGGCCTAGGAGAGGCCAGCCCTCAAACCAAAGCAAGTGCCAGGCTGCAGCAACCCGTGAGGGATCATGTTGCTTGGGAACCCATGCTTTCTGAAGATTTTCTTGCAAGTTTTATTTGAGGACTCTCAGGAATATTGACTCTAGGATGACACACTCTTCCCTAAGGAAAGTTTGCCTTTAGCCTGAGTCAAATGGTGTATATGGGGTGAGGGTGGGAGGCTCTTGTGTTAAAACTTTTGGTACTGTGACCAGAATACCTAAGGAAAACATTTAAATGGAAGAATTCTTTTGGCTTATGGTTTCAAAGGATTCAGTCCATGGTTACCTGGTTCTGTGTTTCTCGGCCTGGAGTGAAGCAGTGTATCACGATGGTAGAAACATGTGCCCAGAAAGCAGAAGTGAGGTAGAGGTTTGGGACAAGTTACGGCTCTCAAGAGCGTGACCATTTTAACCTACTTCTTCCAGCTAGGTCCTAAGTCTTCTAGAACCTACCAGAATAGCACAACCAGCTGTGGTCTAAGCTTCAGTGCATGAACCTCTTTAGGGGATACTTGCCATTCAAATCAGAGCACCCTACTTGTGTGGGAACCTGCATTTTTATTCTTTACTCATTCATCTTATTCATCTATTTGTCTGTTCATCCATCCATTCCTAACAGTCATGGAATATCCACTATGTGTTGATACAAGGCTCTGGGGAGGCAGAAATGAATGCAGACATGGTCCTTGACTTCCAGGAGTTCAAATTCTAGAGCAGGAGATGAAAAGAAAACAACTGTGGTAAAGGCCATGGCAGATACAACTAGGAGCTTTGAAAGTCCAAGTGAAGTCCTACTTTGGTCTGTGAGCTAAGCACTGGGGGTTATCTGTGTGCCTACCTTGCTGAGGCACAGGGTCGGAGCATGAGTGTATGAGGTGCCTTCCCTGGAGAGATTGCTGGGTGCTCTTACTTCCCTGGAAACTCCATGTGCTCAAAACTTGGGCTCCAATACAGAACACCACGCCTGGCCTCACCCATGCCCATTACCCATGTCTCCCCAAGACAGCAGGCATGATTTATCTGATTGGAGAGTCTGGAGTTCAGAAGAGGAAACTGGGACAGGGTGACTCAGCTTCTCTGGGGTGGATCACTCCCTTCTGTGCCTGAGTGTAGTTTACAGAGGACGGCTGTTGCCAAGGTGCCGACTGTATGTAGTGAGTGAATTCAGGAGGGAGACATCACAAAGCCCATTTGACTAATATATTTAAAGCCACTTTCAGCAACCTCGCTTTCATTAGTGTTTCCTGTTTTGATCTCCTTATGCCTGATGCCTGTGGCAAGGAAGAAAGTAATTGGACTCATGTGAACGGCAACACAGATGATACTTAAGTGTGTCCCATAAGTGGAGGCTGGCCTTCACTGGCACACGTCACTCTGACTTGATTGACAGGAATGTGCATCCCATGTGCTAAGATCTGAATGGCAGATCTTGGGCTCTGTAGGAAGGATTTCCTTGCCCTTCTACCCCTCCTTTGCAGCACCCCTCTGACCTAGCACCACAGCCAGACAAAAGGAGAATGCAGAATGAAAGAGGCCAAATGGTTCTATTCAAGCATGTGCCGGTGTCACATGGTCATGAACTTTCTTTGGTCCAAACCTGGAGCTCACCTCATCTCTGGAGAAGACTCTCAGGATATGTGCCTCTTTTTCCTCTCAAGACGGCTTTGGTTTGGATGGCCCCTTTAGGAAATGCCTTCTGGCTTGCCTTTCTGGAACACCTCTGCCCTCTTGTTTCTTCTTATGCATGTCAGTTTCCTATGGAGCTGAATTTGGGTTATTTTTGTTTCTAGAAGATGTAACTAATGTCCTGCACCTCCTAGGTCAGGATTGCTGCCTCTTTTTTTTCAATGATGGCTGACTGAGAAGCAAAGAGGTACAGGGCCACCCAGAAAGGATTAGCAAAATCTTAGGGAGCCCCCACTGAAACACTCCTAGCCCTCTCATTTCAGACTCTGTACTTGACTCATTAATTCTATCAGCCAGTTCCTTAGTGGGCAACTAGCTCATTCTTTAAACATATATTTTAATATTTGCTTAATTAGAATACATAAAATTAGGTTTCCCTATAACTTAAAAAAAATAGGTTCTCATGATGCAGCCAGGTTTGAACTAACAGACATGGGCCTGCCTCTGCCTCCTGAGTGCTGTGGTTAAAGGCCTGTGCTACCATGCCAGGCATCATTATGGCATTTTCAAGCCATGTGGGTTTTGTGGCTTCCCTCTTCTCACCCATCACCGTGGCTCGCCTTGTACCCGTCCACCCACTCCCCATAACCTCCCTCTGATTTCATGTCACATGTGTTCTGTTGCCCTCCCCCTGTTTCCTCGGGGCCCACGCGCGCACGCACGCGCACGCACACACACACACACATGGGCTTGTGGCCTCCTTTCTGGTTTCATCACCTCTATCCACACTCAGCCTCACTTACGCACACACACATTAACAATATAAGCTAGGATCTTCGTGAGAGAGAAAACATGGGATTTTTGTCTTTCCGACTCTTTTTATTTAAACCTCACTTAATGTAATACTTTCCAGATCATCTATTTTCTTTTCTTCCAAAGTTTTGACACGGAAAACTTCAGTCAGTCAGTAGTAGCCCAGTAGAGGGCGCCGTTTCAAACAAATTCCACAGCCAAGCAGGTGGTCCTGTGTGTGCTTTGGAAAAATCCATCTGTTCAAAAGCTCTGAGCCAGACCAAGGCTTGTGCAAAGTAGCAGCCTGGGTTTTGTGGGCTCCCCAGGATTCTACATCCCGCTTCCATCAGCAGAGCTTAGTTAGGGCTCAGTCTGAGAGTTGCCACAGTTTAAGCCTTCTGGGTTCCTTAGGCAGGTCCTGGCTCCAGCATGGTGCAGGAGCTGAGCAATTCCCCTGACCTTGTACACATCCACACCAACTAGCATGCTATTGAGTGTAGTCTTCAGAGAGGGAGATCCTGGGTCAAAGAAACCCGTAACTCAGGTCAGGGTGACAATGGAAGTGACAGGCTTTGGGGACAGTGGCAGGAAGGTGATACAATAAAGAAGAAAGTGGTGCAGCTTGAATGGCTAGGGGGAAGAGATGGCTGCTTGATCATTCGAATCTTAGTTCTGATTCCCGGCATCCAATCAAAAGGCCTAGTCAAGCCAAGCACATGGGTAATTCTACCTTGGGGAGGAGGAAATGGGGTTTTGACCAACCAGCCTAGCTTAACTGGTGAACTCCAGGGTTGGGTGAGAGACCCTGTCTTGAAATATAAGGTGGAAAGTGGTTGACCTCTGGATTCCACATTTACAAGCACACATGTATTCGGGCACCCCCACGCACACACATACACACAGATAATGAAGCCTGGACTCACTGAATGCACCCAGCTCCCCGCGCCTTTCTACTGGTCTAAGTTCAAATTCTGAGTAGCCGTGGTGAGACAGAGACTTGCTGGCTAAACTTTCATGACCAAGACAACTGCTGCAATGTGGAACACACCAAGCAGAAGTACCCAGAATCTGTGTGAGTGAGTGGGCACAGGGTTCTATGTGTGAATTTGTCTTCGAAGAGTTTCCAAAATTGACAGTGGGCCACGGAAGACACTAAGAGACAAAAGAGCCAGAAGTACCAGTGTTCTTGAGGACTTGGCTACTGGCTTCTGGTTAAAATACAAGCAAACTTACTGTGAAATACGAGGCACCCAAGACGGTCTGTAAGGAGATGTCAGCAGGCACTTTAGTTTTTTAGAGATGTTCTTACCAAGTACCACAGACTGTGTAGCTTCAACAGCAGGCCTTGACTTCCTCATAGTGCTAGGGTCTGGGTATTGAGATCACAGTGTTGGCCATTCTGTTCTGTGGATGACCACCCTTCTTCTGCCTCTTTTTGGCTATCCCTCTGTGACCACATACCCCCTGGTATCTCTCTTTTCAAAAGGGTACTGGTAATGTTAGACATTCCTCCCAACTTGGCACACACATGTGCACGCACGCACTTGCATGTGTGGCTTCATTTCAACTTACCTCTTTAGCTACAAAACAGTTATGTTCTGAGAACCCAGGGGATGCAACTTTCAATGAATGCATGAAGCCAAAGGGAGATGGCATTACTCAATACATAATATCATGTGGGTCTATGAGGCTGGAGAAATTGTGTGATTGCACTGAGTGATGCTGGTTGTTACAACTGATAAGTTTTGAAACCTTGGGGTAGTTTTCACTGACAGTGAAAACCATTCCCAGTAGCTGGAGGCTGAGAGCTGTTTGTGATACAGCCTTACAGTTGCATAGCTGCTATCTTTTAAAAATATATTTTATCTTAACTGTGTGCACTCATGTGCACACTCTCACACATGTGTGGACATGCTAACACACACACACACACACACACACACACACACACACACACACACACGTGCAGGTGGCCATAGAGGTCAGAGGTACTAATTCCCTTGAACTAGAGTTGGGAACTGAGTGACATGGGTGCTAGGACCAGAACTAAGGTCCTCTGGAAAAGCTGATAAGTCATCTCTCCAGCCCCAGATGCCATCTTCAGCACGTGTAATGTCCAGGGACACTGGATTGAGAACAGGGGAAACTGTAAAAGGCATGCAGCCATCCCATGACCCAATGGTGCTGCATTATACCCAATTACATTACAACCAAAAAAAAAAAAAAAAAGCTAGTTTTCTGTGCACAGCTGCATGAACGGAACTTGGGAAATGTAGTTTGTATGTAAGACTGGGGGAAGGAATAGAGGGTTTGGTAACCATTTAGTCCAATTTTGTAGGTCAGTCTCAGTTCAAAATATGATCCAATTATTCTGGGGAAGTAGTCACTATACCAGTGGTTCTCAACCAGGAGATGCGACTTTCAATGCATGAAGCCAAAGGGAGATGGCATTACTGAGATGCTGTGATCCCTTAGTATAGTTCCTCATGTTGTGGTGACCCCCCAGTCGTAAAATTATTTTGTTGCTACTTCATAACTATAATTTTCTACTGCTATGAATTGTAATGTAAATATCTGATAGGTAGAATCTCTGATTCGAGACCCGCAAAAGGGCCATGACCCACAGGTTGAGAACCACTGTACTAGACACTCAAGAAAATGTACTTGAAGATAAAGGTATCATGGATCTCCTAAATCCCCAAAGTCATGAGTAATACTTGGTCTTGAGTAATACTCTCCTACCACCTTCAGGTCATGGAATACATAAAAAAAGACAATTCTTATGCTGTACACTGGACTCCATAGACAAAGCTATTTGCGGTCACTGTGGAGACCTAGACATGGTCTCCATGGTCACATCCATGTGCTGCAGTTTACAGGTAGTGGAGATGTCAAGAAAACAAAGAGGATGACGTGTGGGTAAGATGTGGATTACTGGAAAACTAAAGACATTGCCACCATCATATAATAAAACAGAACAGGAAAATCAAATCAAGCTCTTTGAAAGCCTGGCAAAGCCAGATGGCCCCGGGGCACTACAAGATTTTAAAACGTTGAGACCATGACTCTCCCTTCATCTGGAAAGCATACTCAGCGTGGGAAGGCCTCTCTACAAAGAGGGTCTAGTGACTCAAGGAATCGATTGTGTCCTATTTAGAGCATGTCTTCCTTTTCTCTCCTGCACAATCAACTGGAAGAGAATTAGAATGAGATCTTGATATGAACATTAGTAACTACCAGAAAACGAGATGAATAAGGAAACAGGATGTTGGGTTTGGACGTTTTTCCATAGGTTCAAGATTTCTATAATGTACGCACGCGTCTTTGCTTTGGTTTATCTTCTCTACTTTGAACTCACAAATATTTAGCTTCATCTATAAATAAGTCATCTAACACTTACCAACCACAGGAAAGTAGTTATATGACATCATAGCAGAGAGGAGGAGGAAAGCCCATTTTATAACACTAATACACTTTTTGAACAATCACTTTACTAAAAGAAGACAGCTTGTAGCCTCATGAATATTGTCCCATCAGAGAACCTATGCTATGTTATTAACCTTGGGCA